AACAGGAGGAAGGGAATCAAGATGGAGGTGATGAGGAGGAGAGGAGGTAATAGTAGAACAGGATGGAGAAAAGAACACTAATAGTAGAACAGGATGGAGAAAAGAACACAAAGAGGAGCATCAGTGGCGGCAGCAGCAGCAGCAGCGGCAGCAGCAGCAGCAGCATCAGTGTATCTCTGTGTTTGATGAGCTCAGTGATGACACACTCTGCCTGCCAGCCCCTGTGACCACAGCCTCGAACACTCCATCTATTGGTGCAGCAGCAGCACAGAGTCCAAGTCTCTCAGGGTTGTCAGTGTTTCTGTTTCACCTTCAGTCTGTTCTACTTTTCCACTCTGCGTCTCTCTGAAGTTAAAAAGTCCCTCTGTCTGATTATATCTGCTGTGAGAATTACTGTCACCTGGAAATGGAACATGTACTTTGACCTCACCTGTGGGCCACCTCCGAAAATACCTGCCTCTCTCAGTACCAACAGTAGCAAACAGTATCAACAGTGTCAACAGTGTCAACAGTACCAAAAATATCAACGGAATCAACAGTCCCACTGGGACCAACAGTACCAACAGTAGAATCAACATCCAAACAGCACAGACCCGACTGTTCAGAAAAGACCGGTACAGGTAGAACAGAATGAAGTAATAAGTAACAAGTAATAACAAGTTACACCATACAATGAGGTAGATCTACAATGGTACTTCAAAGACAAAACAAATCCTCATTTGAATGGAGGATGTAACACTGAGGTGGCCTGGGACGTGACCCACTGACAAACTCTTCTGGACTCATTTCCAGATGTTAAACCAAATGAAATGGAGTTTGAAAGTCAAAACCACAAACCTAACTATCAGTACGCCACAGTCAAATAACACTTTTTAACATTTATAGCCCGCATTGAGTACTCACCCATTGACGTCTCTCTGGGGGGCGGTGAAAGATTCGGTCAGGTACAGTGTCTGGCTCCACTATGGTTCCGGTTCCTGCTCCACTGCGGTCCAGTATAACCCAACGTTATTGTAATAGTCGTGGTATTTATATCGTTTTGTCCTCGGCGGTTGTCCTCCACACTTCAAGCTAGCCATGCTAACTTTGAACACACTCTTGTTGTCGTTGTTTTAACCGCGCTCCTCGGTTTCAGTGAAAACCGAATCAACCATCTGTTGGTCGAACCACCTCTTATCTGAGGGAACTGCACGGAAACTTAACATGACGTCACTCGGTCCCAGCGTGTGTCATGAACGTAGATCCGGCGGCACCAGCTTGTGCGGCCTTTATATTATCGCACATCGGTGTTAGCGTCACAGGTTAAGGTAACAATGTGTATTGTAGTCGCTGCAATTGGTGTATAACTTTACATATTCACGTTTGAGTGACGTCAGAAGTAGACCCCAGTGTAGAACTCTGTGGTGGCCCTGATAAACAGACAGGCGAAGCTGGTCTGTGTCCAAGCGCACTTCGAGGGGTGACAGTGGCACACTGTCAGGCGTCCCATTTGCCATGCGTAAGGTTTTGGGTTCAATTCCACCTACGCTCCAATCCTGGGCAGGGATTTTAGCTTAACTGAGAAAGTTCCAAAAGTACTTTTTCGAAAAAGAAAACGATTCATATTATGTTTTTATTTAATATTTATTTCACCAGTTAATCAAACACCACTAGGGGGCGCGTGCTCAATTAATTGTCAAATTAAATTGTCATTTAATTGGATTATTTTCCTTGATGAAGGGTTAAAGCTCATGATAGCTCTACTACTGGTCACGTGAGGTTTCCTGATGGGAAACTGGATCTGGAACCTCTGTCCCACACCAGCCCTGTTCTTCCCTTTGTGTCATTTCTTTGTTACCTTTCCTCTTTCCATCTTCATTTTTCCTCATCCTCACACATATTCCCCCTCTCCCCCACACAGCTCCCCCCTACCCTCTAGGACCCCAGCCTTTGTGGTGGACTGATGGAGATCTGAGATCCTGTCATGCAGGAAATAGCGTGGACATGGACTTCCCTCCACCGTGAATCCAGCTTCCTGTCTCCTCTCATCCACTCCACTCTATCACCTTTCTGCTTTATCTCCCCCGCCTCACAGTCTTCACCTCAACACAGTATTAAGTAGTAACTGTGGGGGGAGGAGAGGGGACCATCTCCACCATCCCTCACCCTGATGCACTGTGAGGTCCTTACAACCAAAAAGATTTTCCTCTAGACTCCCTCTCCTCCTCTAACTCGTCCTTTCTCTCCTCCTCCGCCTCCCCTCCTCCTCCTCCGCCTCCTGCCTTATTGTGTCATCATGCATGCACGCCGTCTCTCAGCAGCCTCACGGACAATGATTCCCACTGGCTTGCGAAAGGTTAATGCCTTGGATGATTGTAAATTGTTTGGCTATTTCAAGGCTCCATGAAAGGGAGAAGTCAACCATAAAATTTGATCGGCTTGCTCCCTCCTACCCCCTTCCTCCTCCCCAGTGCTGTCCCCCGTCACTTCCCTCACTCTAATTTCTTCTCTCTGTGGATGCTGGGTTTTTTTTTTCTCGTTTTTTTTCCATCTTTTTTCCCCACCCAAACAGGTGGAGGAGTTTGAACTCTTCTCTGTCTCCATCAGAACTCACAGGTGAATCAGTGTGCCGCCCTGGAGGACCACAGATAGTACTCCATCTACTCCACCCCATTAAGGGGCAGCCTGAGTTTTTTTACCTCCTCCATCTCACCCTGGATTTCTGCAGCTTCCATCAGAGATAATGTGGAAGAGTGAGGAAGAAAAGCTCACCTCTAATCATTTATTTTTTTTACCACTTGCTGTCGTTGCAGAGTGGACGTGGGGCAGGGGGATTATTAACGGTTTAATAGCTAACGAAGCCTGACAGCTGCTCCTCTGGCTAAGATTAAGGAGTGGAGGGTTAATGGTGGTGTGGGTGAGATTGTCATAACTCACAACAAGGCCATTAAAGTAATATTACACAGAGAGACTTGAGCTGATACCAGCTGAACTCTCAGAGAAGGTGGCACCGGGCGGAGGCTCAGAACCATTTCTCACTCCGGTCGGTGTTTGGCCTGCAGCTCTGAGAAAATGGGTTTTAGTTCCAAAAGAAAAATCACAGGAGGAAATAAATCATCAAACAAAGAAGAACTGTTTCTGCATCAGTCTGGGCCTCACACCCGCACCAGCACTGGGCCTCAGCACAGGAGCCCACCGTCTCTTGATAAAAGGACAACATGTGGCCCACATTCTACATATAAGATGTGGGCCACGACGTACCCACAGTTTATTGCTGCACTCTGGTTAAAGGGCAGAGTTGCTGCAGCCCATCATCAATCATTTGTTTATTGGTAAAGCAGACCACTGGTCTGATGACCAGGTTTGACCCATTATGTGATGCGACTATAATTGGAACCAGGTGAACCAGGTAAGACTTTGTCTTCCTGGTCCATATTGTTCCATTCATCCCACAGTTCAACCAGGTGGAAACCATGTAAGAATGCTTTAGTATCTGACCAGGTAGACACTGGTACACAGATGAATCCTGTCTAACTCTGTTGGTTTAAAATATGAAAAACTTCATTAAAATCATTTTTAAACAGTTTGTTTTTCTCTGGGTCCTCCAGGACAAAGAGAAGAACATTCCACTGCACAAACACTCGTCACCAGTTGATGTTGCAGGGCAACGCTGAAGTTCACTACCTCCCTCTACTGGTCAGATTTAGCCACTGCAGCACAGGGGAGCCACCAGAACAAAGAAGGAAGAGAACAAAGGGTTCTACAGGAGGAAAGAGAGTTCCTCTGGACAGGGAGGATGTCCCCTGGGTTCTTAACCTGACAATCACAATATCAGACTGCAGTATTACTGAAGACAAGTGTAGTATCATATATACATGGATCTGCAGAGATGAAGTACTCTGAAGGTTACCAGTGGACCCAACAAGAACTTCTTCTCTGTCATGGATGTGCTGATATTGAACAGAGCCAAGCTGATAATACAGAACACCATGCAGGCCATACAGTATGTAGCAATGACCATACCTCACTCCCTATGTGTTAATGTTTTTGTTGTATTTTTCTTATTTTATTGAAAAAGACATTCATGTTGATGATGTATGCCAAATGATTGAAATGGATGTATATGTTACATATGTTGCTGAATGTCAGTAAGAAAGGGCACTGGTGGCATACTGGTTAAGGAAGTGGACTTGGGTCCAGAAGGTTTTAGGTTTGAGTTCACCAGTTGCCACTGAGGTGCTTTGAGCATGGCACTGTCCCCTCACATTGCTCCCCAGGCAACTTAAAGCTGCCCCCTGCTGACCTTGGTGATGGGTAAAAGCAGAGGTGTGCTGTGTCACAATGACAAATAAATGACAAATCACTTTAAAAAAGAGCATGGGGAACAGCTGTGGAACCCTTTAACTGTTTAGCATGCTCAAAATATCATTACATGTGTAATGTAACATAAAGCAGTTTCACACTAGAGGCCAGTCACTGTGGTTACCAGTACCAGTACCAAGAAACAGTTGGAACACACCTGGTTTTTTGTCAGCTGTGCATTAGTTCATACCAGTGTGAAGAGTTTATTTTTGAGTCAGTCTTCATCAGGCATGATGAAGCATGATCTTGACCCAGTACTGCCCCCTACTGGAAACCCTTTATTTCTCATGGGTAAGTATTACATCTAGAGGGAGCCCTAAACACAAACAAACAAACGGAAAGGAAGAAAATTATTTTTTGTTCAGTTATTTGTCTTTGTGTCACTGACTGAGGAACATGTTCTCCTGGCTGTGCACTCTCAGGTTCTCCACTGGAGTTCTGTTTGTTCTCTCTGACAGCTTTATTGTGTCTGAGGCAGACGCTGAAAGGATGATCCTGGTCGCTGAATCTGTGTCGCTTTGTACCTGCAGGGGTCACAGCGGTCATTCAATACCT